TTCCTCGCTCCGGCTCCTCCCTGCTTACCTGCTCCGCAGCGGCATCGCCAACGCGCTGCTCCTTCTTTTCCAGGATCCCCGGGCGGCTGAATGACAGGAGGACTCCGTTGGGTGAACTGAATTGGATCTTCACAGCCATCACAGACACCATCGCGTGGAACGTGCTGCCCCGCGGTGAGGCTGGGGGACACTGCCTTGGGGGGACAGCGACCCCAGCCTTGGGCGTGAGAGAAGTCAGACAGGCTCTGGGGGTCCTTCTCCAGTGAGGAAAATTGTCGGGGAGAGCTCCGTGAGGACGGGCGAGAGCTGCTCCTCCGCACGCCCTGCTCCCAGCAGGTCTGGGCTGTCCTGTGGTCCACAGCTGTCCAGATCTGCTCAGACCAGGACGCTGGCACAGGGCGCACGTTCCGTGCTTACTGGTGCGTGCACACGCGAGGTGTCGCGGAGCCCCGCTCTAGTCTCACCTGGCCTTGAGTGCCGGGCCTGTCAGCTGAGGCTCCTTTTGCCCTTCGTTTGCCTTCAGATCTCTTCCAGAAGCTCTTCAGACAGGACCTGTTGGTGGCCAGCTTGTTCCGAAACTTCCTGTTGGCGGAAAGGATCATGAGGTCGTACAACTGCACCCCCGTCAGCAGCCCGCGACTCCCGCCGACTTACATGCACGCCATGTGGTGAGTGCCTTGGGCGGCAGCCATGTGAGGTAGGGGCAGCATTCTCTAGATAGCATGCGACCCCCCTTTTCTGTGGTGGTGCAAGTTTCACGGAGCCACGTGAAGCAGAGTGAGGAGGCTTGACGCCAGAGTTGGAGGCTCCGAGCGGCACGAGTAGCAGTAGAGGGCAATGAGGGTCCCAGAGGGCCCTCGGGCAGAAACCGGCTCTCCCACTGGTCAGAGTCTCCGGTGGCCATTCCCAGACGGAGCAGGGACCAGTGCCTCCAGAGGCCGCCAGGTCTGTAACGTGGGGCAGCGGTGTCTCTGTCCTTTTAGAGACTCGTCCTGAGAAAAGAGATCGCCCTCCGAATTCACAGAGAGCGCCCAAGACCGGCCCAGAGAGGGGCTGTTGGGCTCTCGGCAAATTAACGCGCACGGTGCTCCCTGTCCCCCGGCACGTTCTGAGGCCCCCAGCAGATGCCTGAAACTGGCCAGCGCCAAGGCCCGAGTGTGCTGGGTTTCTGCCCGAGACAGCTGCGGGACCTAACGGGGAGTTGCCTACATCTGCAGCCCGGAGAAGCCAGACGCCAGACCGTCCCCAGCGAGATGGAGCGGGGTAGAGCAAGATTGCATCCTGCTACTCAGAAAGGGGAATTCGCAATCTGAGGGTTTCGAATTGTTTCTTTCTGGGACTTTCTATTTAATATTTTCAGATCGTGGTTAACCACAAAGAACTGAAACTGCAGAAAACAGACTACAGGTAGACGGGGTTGCTTCTGCTCACTTCACACACGCACAGCGTCGCCTTTCGTGACTGCTGTCATTTCCAGCCTTCGCCAGACTGCTGCCGCTCATGCTCCTAGTCACAGTGGTAGCCACGGCAATGCGGCCCTGGTTCCAGTCTGGGCCTTCTGAAGACAGTCGGTTCCTCCTTCCCGCTGCCTCCCTCACACAAGTGGAGTGGAGCAGCCCCGAGTGGGCTGACAGCAAGGACATGCGAGCCTTAGTTCTTGCCCCTGGTGGGGTATTTACTGAGAGCCAGCAGGGGTGTGGTGGTTAGGGCGGCCGAGAACACCTGAAAGGGCCACAGCAGCATGAGGGGCAGCACTAGGGAGCGGCCAGGCATTGCCAACGGCAGCACCGGTCCGCGGCATGTCCCAGAGCTGGCCTTTTCGGGGCTCTCCGGATGCTGGACTGGGAGTGTGCTCTCCAAGGCCATGGTCAAGCTGCAGGCCGGGTTGTGGGGAAGCGGGCCCTGAGGCAAGGGCAGCATCTCCATGCTGGGGTGGGGCTGGGCCCACGGGCACCCCTGTGGACAGGAGGGCAGGCAGGCAGGCTGCAGGAGGAGGGGCCAAGCTCCCCACGGCCCCATGGGCAGCCTGCTTTCCCCAGTCTGTCTGCCATGAGGTGGAGGCCACCAGGTGGGACCCCCCAAGGGCTGTGCCTACGGTACTCAGCAGCAGGCTCCGGTCCCCAGAGCAGGGCCGAGAAAACCGCGTCTCACAGGGGCCCCTAATCCCTGGAGCAAGGCCAAGACGGCCATGTCTCGCAGGGGCCCCTAGTCCCCAGAGCAGGGCCGAGAAGGCCATGTCCACAGGCCCCGGTCCCCAGAACAGAGCCCTGTCCCTGGCGTCTGGCCAGAGAGGTGCTCACCCACTGCGAGCTGGAACTGTCAATCCTAAGCTCTCTGTTTTGGGGTCTTAGGGAGACCTAGAAGTACAGGTAGAATCTCTCTTCTGAGTAGGCGTTGTACTTTCTCGCTCCCAGCTAGACCTTTCCCATTCTGAAACAGTGTTGCCAGCATGCTGGTCACGTCCTCTGACCCAGACAGCTTGAGCAGGATGGTAATAGTAACAGGTGTCGCTGGCCCTCCCAGCATGCTGAATCCATAGGTGCACTTTGTAATGAGTCTACCTGTAGACCTGCTAAGCCTTGTTTTTTACTTTTTTTATATTAAAAACTATTTTTAAAGAATTATTTAACTTTATTTATTGTTATTTTAATGTTACTAAAGACAAAGAGAGAGAGGGAAAGTAAGAAAGCAAGCCACCAGGATCGAGACTTGAACTGTGATCTGCCATGTGAGAGTCCAGTGCCCATAACCACCACGCCACCTGCCAGCGCCTTAAAAAGCTATTTTTAATTGAATCAGTGCATCACTGTGGTCAGGGCATTATTTATCATAAATACAAAGCTGGAGACAGAAGAAACGTTAATAACTAGGTGCTTCTGTGCCAGCAGAGCCCCCAAGGCTTAGTACCTGGGCTCGATCTCATTTGGTGTTTTTAAGTGGTAGAGAAAAGTTTATTAAAATCCCAAGTTGAAAATAATTTACAGACATTATACTTACTTGCATTCGATGTCACACAGCAAACAGGAGTGTTGTTATCAAATGCCCGTTTCGGGGATGACATGAATTGCTGATTTCATAATTGCACACCTTCTGTGCACAAGGCACCAGGCTGGGCCGGCCTTGGAAGGCACATGGAAGGCACTTTAGAAGGTAGGAGGCCCACCGGGAGTCAGCCGAGCGATTGAGAGACAAAGCAGGACTGGGGTGAACATTCAGAGGCAGACGCGGGTGGCTGGGGGTCACGAGGACCTGCCGAGTGATGGCAGACGCTGCACTCCTGTCACACCAACCCTCGCCATGGTGCCCTGAGGCAGACAGTGTTCATCTTACAGCAGGGGAGACTGGGGGTCAGAGAGCAGAGACTTGACCGACTGTAGTTACATGTGGGCCGGGATGGAGCTTCAGGCCCCAGCTGTGCCCTCCAGAGCTGGGGCCTTCTCTGTCCCGCCTGCAGGTGGGAGCCAGAGTACCCTGCACAGCTGCAGGAGAGCTCATGAAAGTTCGCGGGCAAGTGGCTGCTGTCACGCATCCTGGCTGCCCCTCAGGATGGGGTGACCACGGTAGCCCTTTCTTGCCCAGGTTCGGGTCCAGCCCGCATAGATGGCCACTAGTACCCCAGCAGGTGGAGTCCAGCTGGGTGGTGGCCTGTGCACGGCCTTCGCGCCCCGCAGCCACATAGGCAGAGTCCGTCATTTGGAAGAGTGGGTATGGGAAGACGGTGTTTTCGAGATGCGTGTGCTACATGGCAGCACCCACAGTTCATGGTGTCCTCCCCGGGCAAAACTGCCATTTATTCTGTAATGCGTCGGTCAGGCGTCCGTGGGTCCTGCCTGGGGAGCAGGTGCCCAGTGCAAGGCGGGTCCAAGGGTGAGAGCGGGGCCATCCCACGTCATTCACGTTGGGAGAGAAGGAAGAGGAGGGCTCCCTGCTCCAGGTCTGGGGGGACAGCTGGGGGTGGTGCTCCATGAGCCAGGTGGGCAGAGCGAAAGCCAGCGTGCAGGGCGGGGCCTGAGCGTGGAGAGCGGGCTCACTGGCCGTGCTCAGTCCCAGCAGCACTTGGGCCCACAGCTACCAGCCATATGGTCTTTAGAGTAGCCAAAAATCCGTGTCTTCATGTAGGGATCTCTGAGACGTCGACATCTGAGCTGGCACTAAGGAACACACCGCGGCCAGGAGCAGCCTGCTGGGAGCTGGGCGCCATGCCAAGGACAGAGCTTCGGGCTGAGCTGCCCGGTGTCCTCCGCTCGAAGGCTAGCCCTGGGCACTTCGCAGGTGTGCACAGAGCTGGGGGGGGCAGGCACAGTGACTCTGGCCAGGCCGAGTCGGGTGCTTGCCTGGGCTCCCCTTCACGAGCCGTTCTGGCAGCTGCGTGTGTCAGTGGCCTCTGCTTTGGGATCTCGTTCTGCCAGGCGTCACATCGCGGCCTGTTTCCCCGCCCCAGGGCTCCGCTTACTGAGCTCAGGGCACTGTGGTTCCCGGGGCACCCCTGGCACATGTTCTCGGGAGGGTCTCGAGCAGGACGGTGCCAGTGTGTACCTGGAGCCAGGCAGAAAACAGTAGTCCCACTGAGTGTGGTCACACCACAAACCTCCTGTTTCCGGGCATCAGATGTGAAAATCAGCTTCAGGTTTCAGAAATGTCCACACAGGAGGATGGCAAGAATCAGCGTCCCGCTGTTGGAAGCCAGGACGGTGGGTGCCAGGATGGCAGTGCTTGTGGCCGAGGTCCTCCCAAGCCTCCCTGTAGCTTCCTAGGTTGGCAGCTCCCAGACTTGAGTGTGGGATGTACCCAGCGGGGCAGGCCTGCCGCACAGCCTCTGCTCGCCTTGTCCCTGCGACCCCTGCTCCCCGTTCCTCTCCTGGCACCGGGAGCATGTGTGCGGAGAGGTCGGTTTCCTCAGCCCCCGAGCTCGGTGTGTGTGCAGAGGGTTCAGGGGAGTCATTCGGTGTAAGGGCCCCCAGATTATGAGCGGCTTGAATGCGGCCCTAGGCTAGTCCCACGCGGTGCTTACCCACCACCTTACGTGACGGCCGTGTCTGGTGGTCACCACCACGCCGGGCCACGGGG